TTTTATTTTATAAAATTAATTATATATTCTCTTAGCCTTTACTATTGAATTATATCAACCTATTTGAATTGAAATTTTAAAAACTTTACTATACTAGATGACAAAAAATCGTATACTTTACTTGGCCGTAAGGTGGCTGATGGGCAGCCACGTAAAGGCTTCACCTTGACATACTCTGCGTGGCCGTACATCAGCCATGTAGTGGCCTCGTGACGTAATATACTATTACTTGGGGCTAGAAACACATGTGTCAGGGCCAAGGTTATGCGTGTATTTGTTTTGAAAAAGTCGATTTTACTAAGATAAGGTAAAATTAGTAGCAATTTTTTTTTTTTTAATTCTTATGCTTCAATTTATCTCCTCGTTTCAGAATATAGTAATTCATGACATTTTAGATATTTGCTTCGTAACATAGAATTTTTTCAATTTGAGAACTCAAAAACTATGCAAAATTTCATCCACCTTTAAAATTAATGTTTGGATAAACAGTAACTAAATTAATTTTTAATATCGGTAAAATTTCAAAAATTTTGTGAACTCTTAAAATAGTACATAAAAAAATCCCTAATTTTTTCCAGTTCTTTAAGATTTTGCCTCTCTGTGTAGTGAAGTATGATTTTACTATGTTAGTTCATTTAATTTTTACTCTAAGCTGTCTAGAGATGCTTACAATACTCGAATGTATGCTGAGTTGGTTTTCATAAATAGTTCATAGTTATTTTGAACCTTACATACTATCTAAAGAAGTACAATTTTGAAATTTCTTTTTAAAGTGCTCTTTTTTAAGAAAAAGTTTTTATCAAACGATTCTTGGCGCTTTCTAATGTAAGCTCATTCTACAAATCAAATCACTCTTTGACTATAATTTTTAGAAAACAAAATTTATAATTAAATACCCTTTTAAGTAGTTTTTATCATATTTTGTTTTAATGAATTGATGATGTCCAAATATCTTAAATTATAGTTATTAAGTAACAATGTTGTTTCAACAATTAATAGTTATTTATTAAACATGAAAACTAAAAACTTTAACAGTGATGTGCAAGTTACCTGTATTTTTATGACTCAATTATTTAATTTACCACTGCTAAACGAGTGGACAGTGGATGCTTGGTACCCAAGTATAATGTTACGTTATACGTCAACTCGGTGTGGTTTTGGATAATATTTTGATATTTAATAAATAAACGATAATAAACAATATATTATGGTACAATACAACCTAAATAATATGTAGGCTAGCCAGTATAAGACTATGCACTTTTATCAAATCTTCTGATGATTTCAAAAGAACTTCCTACCACCTACGTTGATTACATCTCTAACGTCACCCTCGCATCTGTCACATACACTCACACACTTATTTTTAGTCCATATTTAAAACCCAAAATATAATTGTGTTTAAAAAGTTAAGAAAAACCATCCTGTAGTACTCCTTTGAGTGTTTACATTGCTGAATATATTTGAGCTCCACTCACCTCTATGAACTTTTGCCCCGCTAATTGTAATGAACATCTTTAAACCAAAAAATTACGTTAGGTACAAATGAAAAAGTTGTAAAAGCATAAAATGCAAAGAAATTAATTCATTTATGTATAGAATACAAAGAAAATATTTGAAAAATTTTCGGTAAAGTTAAAAAAGGTGAAAAAATTGTAAAAACAGTTAGTTATTCATTGTGAAAGTAACAAATTAATGATGAATAAATCAATGTTTAATAAAACATCAAGACAGAGAATTACTCATTGTTAGAAACTATGCTAAAAAATAAATTCAAGGGTTATAAGCCGAAAAAGTCTCTCATTTAAACATGGCCGCAGATAAAAGAATTTCTTAACTCTACTGTAGATCGTATTTACTTGTGTAGAAAAGTATTTATCATGACTAATATTATTATTATTATTTTATGGCCACTATTTATTTATTAGCTACTTAAGTATGTTAACTTCTGCAGGCAGTTCTCATTATTAGAGAATTTAGAGCCATACGTTGTATGGAAATAACTAAGCTTAGGACTGCTGATGTAAATGATGCAAATAATTTATACATAGTTACGATTGGNTATATATATAGTCACATGGTGTAGTGTGGTATGGAGGGGAAAAGGCATGGACGGTACGGCAAGGGGAGTAACATACAATATCTACTTCCGTCGTACGTTTTCTCAAGGTCACCAATCTAAAATCGTTGATTTACTTTCGTGCACAACGTGCCTATAGAAGTATAGCTTGAAAAAATTGACGACTATTATTTACCTAGATCGCAGACGTAAATGAAGTTTCTTTTGTAAAAATGAAGCAAACCACTTAATTTTCTGATTGTTTTTTTAATCACGAAACATGGTAAGAAAAATAGAGAATTATGCTACATATGCTTTAATCACCTGTCACCTTATTTTTCATTTTTCTATCAAGTTTGGGCTTAACTATTTTTTTGAAATGGTTAAAATCAGGGCAATTTTTTTTTTTTAGATAACTAATTGTTTTATAAATTTGATTAACGAGCAAAAAAGTCAAAAGGATCGCGTTGAAAGAAATAATGAAATGTAATGAAATAAGTTATCAAGTAAAAACTTATTATTGAGAGACTACATTTTGAGGACCTTATGATTCAAGGATAGTTTTGAAGGTATTAACAACAACATGAAAAAGCCTCAAAAATTTATGATTTGGTGCGATGAATTTTTGAAAAGGTTGTTTTCAAAACTTTTCCTACTGCACACTGTGATCTGAAATTTTATACGTAGATTATTCAACTTAAAGGTCTTTGTAATGTGGAGTTTTCAAAAACTACTTAACCAATAGATTTACGGCGCAGATAATAGAAACAGAGGAAGCAGCGTAGATAAGCTTAAATTCTTAATGAGTTGTGATAAAATTAGGATTAAAAGACTTCTTAAAATACTAGCTCTGTATCTCTTATCATCGTTTTGTGTAAAATAAGCTATGAAATAACTAACGAATAAAAATGTATGAAGGTACAGGTAGAAACTCCCGTTGATTTACTGAATAGCCTTAAAGAATATCAATATTACGGCTTCATCGTACATGTACATTTTCTAAGAGAACGTACCACAACCAAACTGCGCTGTTAGCATCATTGCAGTTCTTATCATTTTTCTCAGTCAGGTTAATCAAGACTTCAGCCTTTAGTTACATCAATTTTAACTGCTATAGACCAAGCGATGTAAAGACAAAACATGTAATAAAGTGATTTAAACTCTATTGTGTTATATATCAAATAAAATCATTTGACGTTAACTCTTTTAGACTAACAATATTATTTTTATTCGTAAGTATTTTACAAATGAATGTATAAAAATGACCTGAAACTTGGTCATGATTGAAATACATAATAAATATTTAAAAGCTTTTACTCCAACTTTAAGATATTTATCACATTAATACATCCTAATGCTGTTTACATTAATTTCAGCTTTTTGCACGGCAGGCCAGAAAAATCAGTCAATTGCCGTACTCTCTCAACTGGCTCATAACGCTGTCTCTGAGAGACGGTTTCACGATGCTTCTTATTTTTACTGGCTCCTATCGCAGCTGAACCTTGATCTGGTGGAAAAAGCAATGGAAAAACTTAAAGTCTGCTTCTTTCTATACTTAGACAAGGCAGACGTTTACTATGCTTACCATCAGTTGTATAAGTACTTGGTTAGATTTAGTCATGTTTTTTGTAAGAGTCAAGCTTACCATAAATGTATGTCATAAAAATAGTTTTCTTTTAGGAGGAGCCCTTTACTGCTTTAATGCCTGAGGCTCTCTTTAATATAGCAAAGTTTCTACTGACAAAAATTCAGGGTAATACGTTTGAGTCGGGTATCTCAAAGATGATTATAGTATATGCTCTCGTCAAGCAAGCTCGACTGTTGGGTGCTTATAAGCTTGCTATACAGCTACTTGACTGGCTACGAAAAATGAAAATACCAAAGCACTGTTTGATGCAGATTGAAAACTGGATAATAGCTATTAAAGCATATCCTTATATAGATCCAGAGGACTTACTGCAATTATGTAATCGATGTACAACGTACAATACTCTATTGCCGGAAATAAGTACAGAGCCTGGCACTTCTTGCTCTCACTGTGGCTCTCAATTTCAGTATTCTTTCGTTATGTTTGGTAAGTAACTTTTTTTTTGTTATAGCAGTTCTCCTGCGTTCCTATTTTCTAATACAATATTATTCAAATGATATGAATCCTTATACTTTTCTACAGAAATTCTACCTTTGGTAGAGTTTGAGTTAGAACCAGGAATTACGAATGAAGAGGCAGAGAAATTTATTAAAGAGCCAGTTCAACCAATCAAAAGTGCATTGGAAAAAAAAAATCAACTTACAATTTTTAGTGACAAGACCGACTTATTCTTGAATCATTTGGAACAGTATGAGGTAATCAGGTTGACGTACTAACAAAATTTTTTTATTTCTTCACTTATTTTTTTATGTTTTTTTTTTGTTTTTTTCTTAAGATTCTTGAATAGGTATGTCCTGTCTTATAAAATATAACTATGTATTTTATTATAAGGTACAAATGCTTTATTTTATACTGATTTTTGTACTGAGATGGATAATTATCTATTAAAAAGAAAGTTGTTTTCTAATTTTTTAGAAAATTCACAATGCTGTCTCACAGGTTTCCATGTTTAAGTACAAATTTTGTACTTGGTTGGTGAGAGTCGATGCTTACGCACATATAAGCAAACGTGAAAGAGTATGTGCGTGCAGGTCTGTGTATTTGTGTGGCGTAGAAGTGTGAACGGGAAAGATTGCGAGTGCAAGTATGTAAAACGAGCAACCAGCGAGTCAGTCCGTAGGTATCTGCCAACTAGCGCACGTATGTAATAAGGAGCATTGAATAAAGTTAAGTGACATCTTCAGTGTACTTCTCCATTTAATCCTTAAGTACAAATAAACAACATATGGCGACGAGAATGGGATCCTTTTACGTGCCCAAGATCTCGAGAAAAATGTCGCGACAGCACGAAATGCTGACATAGTGTAAACCTTTTGCGGCATATGACATGATTTGTCATTTAATTCCATTTTTCTTTCAGTGTAATTGAATTTAAAATTCTTCGTCTTGTGAGCCAAAATGACTCTAACGGGATAATCTATAATATCTACAAATACGACGATAACTGCTATTACTTACACGCAATCTCCATCATTACACGTGGAGCCTTTCATCCCAGAAACTTTGGAATGGCGTAGATGTCTACAGAGACTAGAGGGAGTTTTCACAATCATGAAGCTGACACAAAAAGAAAAGGTTTCGCATCTACCACACTACACAGGTCAAACCGCATTCAATAATTTGTGCAACAATATTGGCTCGGAAAATCCTTACAAAGAATTATACAATACTCCGAAGGAAAAATTGAAGGAGTCATACACCCCAGCCGTATTTAAGATTACAGAAAATTTTAAATTTACAAGCAGGAGTCAGTTACCAGGTTAAAATACACAAAGCATTAGCAATGGAACTTTCCAAGAAAGAGGTAAATACGTTACATCAAAATAAGGTACAAGTCAACTACACTAACACAAGTACACGTAACTATAAGTAGCGTACATCAAAACTAGCGTACGTCAAAGCCATAATTTAAAGGGCAAGCAAGCTTACACTTGCAACAAGCTTACAATAAAACTATAAACAGTGATTCAAATTAGAAGAACTTTAAATATTACAGGTGTGGTTCTGATCCTAAAGCCAATACGTGTGAATTGCTAATGACTATCAAGTGCAATTTCTGTGGTAAACAAGGACATTTAGCATAAGTATGCTTTAAGAAAAGAAATTCGCTATAGACAATGGAAGAAGAAGAGACAGTAGTAGATACAGATGGAATAGAGGTACTAGGTGTCGAAACAGAAGATGGACGAGAAAATTTTTTCAAAACACTCCCGGTCAACTGAAAACAAGTCAACTTGAAGTCAACACAGGAGCAGCCGTCACGTTTATGGAAAGAGAGCAGGCAAAACAACTATTTCCAGGCACACCGGTGGTATGAACAGATCTACAGCTGGTTACGTACTGCAAGTGAAAATTAAATGTTTTAGAATACGTTACAGTAGATTTTAAGAGCGAAAATTTTCATAGTACAGGCAATTTATACATTACCAATATCGAACGGTTGCCACTGGTGGGGTGTGAATCAATAAAAAAAAGTATTAGAGAAAACGAAACAAATACTTTATTCGATTCAATTTTACAAGTAGAAATTTCAGAAGTGTAAAAAAATTTGTTTGTCAAGAAATTGTTAAATAAATAAAAAAAAATTACGAACGAGAATATAAGCGCAATACACCACACTCCAGCGTCATTAATATTAAAAGAAGACGTGAAACCTGTTTTTCTTAAGCCCAGGGCCTTAGTGTTCAAATTGATTTCTTTGGTAGATAAAGAATTGGACTTACTCATACAAGGAGATGTTTTAGAAAAACTTGATACTTCGAATTTTGTAACTGCTATTGTACCCGTGATTAAGAATAATAACCAAGTAAGAATTTGTGGAAACTATAACGTTAAAATAAACCCACAATTAAAAATCAATAAATACCCACTACCCCAACGGAAAAAGTTAGTGTGAAAAAACGTAGCAAACCGTAACTTTCTGTGATGTAATGTACAGTTTGGTTGGATTTCGGACCACAGTTACAGTTTTTTACGTCTTGTTACGTTTGATTATAGTCAACTACAACCCAACACGTTGTCTTACGATTCGTTACATTTTATTATAATTCTAAAAAGACACTTTAATCTCGTGAAAAAGCAACTGTAGTAAACTCTAATAAACTGTAAGAAAGTGTTGTCATCTGTAATGTTTTATAATAGCTTACAGTTTTTTGCAGTTTATTATGTTTTTTCATATTTTATTATCATTGATAACTTTTAGATACATTTCCTTACATTTTCGAATAAAATTTGCCTTAAATGAATAAAACTTGAGTAACTATTATGAAAAAGTATAAGTGTAACAGCATGTGCTAAATCATATTAAAACGTAAGAAAATGTAAAAAAACGTAACCCAACATAACAAAGTGTAACAAACGTCCGAAATCCATGAGACTATCACAGTTCCTTACATTTTCTTACATTTTCTTGTGGGTTACGGCATATTTTTACACATGTTCACTTTTTCTAACATTTTGTTATGTTTTCATATTTCCGCTGGGATATCTACAGTAAAATAACTTTTCTCAGAAATGGCAGATTGTACTGCCATTCATACTTAAAAAAATTAGATTTCAAACTAGCTTATTTACAAATACGAGTGGATGAAAAGAGTGTAAATATACTAACGATTAATATACATCGGGGACTATTTAAATGCAATCGACTAATGTACGGTTAGCCCCAGCACCAGCAATTTGGCAAGAGAAAATTGAAAACATACTTCGTGGTATTAAAGGCGTTGAAGTTTATCTAGACAATATTTGAATAGTAGCTTAAGACTTTACAGAGCCTACGTTAACGTAAGAGGAAGTTTTTAAAGTACTGGATGAATACAATATATAAATAAATCGAGAGAAACGTAAATTTTTTGCTTCAAGAATATATTACTGCGATAACGTAATAGATAAAAACGGATGACACAAAGATACACAAAAATTAGAAACAGATCAACAAATATTTCAGAGTTACAAGCTTTGTGGGATTTATTAATTATTACGGTAGACTCAAAAAAAAAAGTAAGTTTAATTTTAGAACCTTTGTATAAACTCTTACGCATACAAAATAAATTTACGTGATCAAACCACCAGGAAAAAGTATTTCTTGAAACGAAGAAAGCTTTTACTAGTAAAAAATGCTTAACGTTATATGATCCCAATTTACCTCTCGTACTGGTGACAGATGCGAGCTCATATGTGGATGGGGCAGTGTTATCGCATCGTTTTTCTGATGGGACCAAAAAATCAAACAAACTTTAAATACGACACAAAGAAAATATAGTCAGATAGATAAAGAAGCGTACGCCGTTGTTCATGAGATTAAACAATTTTACCAATACCTCTATGTGAATAAGTTTACATCAATTACGGACCACAGATCACTTACACAGATTTTTTCAAAAAATAAAGAGCTGCCACGGTGCAGTGCAGTGATAATGCAACATTACTCAATTTTTTTACGTGGTTTTGAACATATTATTGAATACAAGAAATTGTAGTACAAAGGGAAGCCAAGGTAGACTCTTTAGACTACCAGCGATTAAAGTGGAAAAAAATATTGATACTGTTGATTGATTCTGTATTAATACTTTTGAGACCTTATCGATTGATTCTAATAAAATACTAGAAAGAGTACATGAAGATAGCGACTTACAATATGTGATTACTGCATTAAAAAACGTTGAAAGTCTTACGGCAAAGGAAACATGGTATGTTGATCCACGTGAATTTACTTTGAAACAAAGTGTACTAATGCTAAAAAATCAAGGTGTAACACAGAAAGCATTATGAAATACGATTTTGCAAGAATCACATAACAGTTATTTTGGAATGTTAAAAATAAAATGTCTAGCTTGGAGGCATTGCTAGTAGCCAGATATAAGTAACGATATAAAAAAAACTAGAAAATACTGCTTTCAATACTAATCATAAAAGAATAATCCAATCAAAGCAGATTTATACACGTATGGGAATCAGAAAAAGCACCTTTTGATCGCGTCAATATAGATTTTGCTAGATCATTTGTTGAGAAATATTTTTTTATTATAGTAGATGCGTTTTTAAAGTGGCCAGTAGTGTATATTGTTAACGATATATTGAGTGAATCGACGATTACAGTTTGTACAGAAATTTTTGAACGATTTGGAATTCCTAAGATTTTAGTGTCTGATAATGGTAAAACTTTTAGTTCCAGAATGTTCCAGGAATTTCTAAAGTGCAATGATATTGTACATTAAAGAACGGTTCTGTTCTATCCAGCGACGAAGGTTCAAGCCGAAAGATACGTGCAAATAATACAATTAGCACTAAGAAAATTATAGCGTTAAGAAAAACTTCAATTAAATTTGCAATTGATTTTGGCATAATACCGTCAAATGCCTTATGTAAGCACAGTGGTTCTGCCCATAGAATTAATGTTCAGTAGAAAAATAAGATGTAAGTCAGATTTAGTTAAACCAAATGAAATTATAAAAATAGCGTAATTTAATGACAATAAGAAATACGAAGAACTTCAAGTAGGAGATAGCGAGGTGGCAAGAAAATACGGAGAAAGAGACAAATGGATTTTTGGTAAAACTGTGCATTCAACAGGTAAATTCCATTATGAAGTTAGATTACATGACGGGGAAGCATGGTTGCGAAATATTGATCGATTGCGGCATATAGAAAATGTACAAAAGAAAGAAAAATTTCCAGAATTTTTCGTACCAGGGGAAGAAATAGCCATTACATATAAAGAATCAAAAGCAATAAAGAATAACTCTAACTCTTCAATGTATTCGGAGTCAACTTCAATTGTAGGCAGAA